CGAGGCTGTTGAGAAAGAGAAACCATTATCCACTGCTGGTAGAGTATAAACTAATGCAGTCATGATGGAAACCCACGTGGAAGAGCCTCGAAATTTAACAGTAGTCCTCTGACATCAGGCAGCCAGCTGTACCACCCGCCCTGGGTATGTACTCAGAGGATTCTGCATCCTGACACAGAGAAGCATCCACCCTCATCCTTACTGACTTTCTACTCACAATAGGCAGGAAACGGAGCCAGCCGAGGTGCCCATCAACTGATGTGGGAACTGATGACTCATACGCAAAGAGAATGTCCTCATAGTCCTCAAGGTTGGTTGTCTCATCCAAAATGGTCCTTGACTTCCTCTGTCACACGGGTGCTCACAGAAATGATGTCATGTGCATAAATGAGCATCAACATTCATGCCAGTGGGTTGCAGAGTGTGCGTTTTCACTTGTGTGCTTCCTTAATGCTTTCATTCTCTCGTCTGTCTGCCTCTCTCTTATGCCTGTGCATGTCAATATGCATGCATGTGTGTCCTTGTGCACACAGAGGTCAGAAGTCAGTCATAAATGTCACTCCTCAGCACCCACCCACCTTGTTTCCTGAGACAGGATCTCTCACTGGAGGCTGGGGATCCCTGTTTTGGCTAAGCTGATTGTCCAGTGGGCTGCTGGAATTGTGTCTACACCTCCCCAGCACAAATGCACATGCCCAGCCTTTAGATGTGTGCTAGGGATCAAATTCAGGTCTCCACCAGTGTGGCAAGCCGTTGACCAACTAGACTAAGCTGTCTCCCAGCCTCTGCACCGATGTTGAATGCATGCACCAGCTCTTCACTTTACTCATATCTCATTTCTTTTCTTCATCTTAAAGATAATGAGGGGCTGGAGAGATGTCTCTGTGGTTAAAAGTGCTTGCTGCTCTGAATTCAAAAAAGTTCAACTAGGGTGTTTCAAATATTTTTAAAAGAAGTCACATCTTAACTGGTATCTTCACATGTTCACTATGTGTGCGTGCAGGAAGAACTCTGAGTTTTTATCTCTTCATTTTTGAATGTAAAGACTGTCTTTCCCATAAACCCTGAGTATCTCCAGGCTGTGTCAGGCCTGAGGTTCAGGAAGGCAGAAGATGAATGGGTTTTTGCTTCAAGGCAGCAAACAGTTGCAGATGCCTGTGGGGAATGTTCCCAGGGTTAGGGGCATTTGTGCTCAGACTATGTAGTTGTGTTGTCAGGAGGCCAGAGGCAGTGAGCGAGGGTGATTCCAGAGCCCCAGTCTCCAGAAGGCTGATGCCTTTGATTGCTGGGATGTATTTTGAAAAGTGTCAGATGTCTTTGGTTTGGGGAGTGGAGGATGACCTCAGAAAGATCAACTGGGGTGAATTGGTGTCAGGAGGGAGCATGGGGCTTGGCTGATGGACAGGAGTACCCTTCAGAAGCACAGCTGACAAATGACAGGAAAATGAAGTCATGAAAGGGACCCAGTGCTGAGCACAAGTTGGTTTTAGTGGGTAATATTAGAACTTCCATTTTACAGTTTCAGATGAACGGGGGAAGCCTAACTCTCATTAAGGCACTTTCTTTTTCTCTTCTGAGACAGGGTCTCTTGCTGTGTAGCCTTGGATAATCTTGAACTTGTGACCCTCCTGCCTCAGTCCCACTGTTGCTGGGTGACAGGTGCCCACCAGGGTGCCTTGAGCCGTTTAGGCCTCCTCACTTCCTTCTCTTTAAAGATCATGGTCTTGAGGGTCAGGGGTTTCTTGTGTTTATTTCACTCATTAGACTTGTTTCCTGGAACACCTGGGCAGAATGTCCTATGTATAACTTGGTGCTCTTCCGGGGTCCTGCCTGAGCACCTGTTCAAATCTCAATGAGTTTAATTGGGATTACTTACGAGAACATGGGGAAGGATGACTGTGGTGGTTTGAAAGACAGTGATCCCCAAAGGGAGTGGCACTGCAGGAGATGTGGCCTTGTTGAGGGAATATGTCACTGTGGGGGCAGGCTTTGAGGTCTCTTTTGCTCAAGCCTCCCTCAGTGTGACAATCGGTTAACTTCCTGTTGCCTGCAAAATGGAGCACTCTCAGCTCTAGTACCATGTCTGCCTACACGCTGCCATGCTACCCGTCATGATAATAATGGAATGACCCACCAGAACTGTAAGTGAGCCACCTCAATTTTTATATGTGTCACTGTGGTCATGGTGTCTCTTCACAGCAATAAAAACCTTACGACAATGACTTACGCAACCTTGGATAGCTTATACTGAAGAAAATATTTCTCCCAGCAACTATTACACTTTCAGATATCCACAGAGAGGGGTGGGGCCTCGAGAGCCCTTTCCCACGGTGGAACATTAATGGACCCAACTCATCTCAAAGGGAGACCACATCTTGCTCAGAGGATAGCATTCCACAGCATTCTTATTGTTCACGTGGGGTAAATTTTATTGCTCTCTCTTCAAGCCCATTGCCTGGTTCACAGGACCAGAGAGGCCTGAGCTGGTCAGAGTAGTGCCCATTGGAGAAGTATGACTTACTTCAAACAAGCCACTAGTCATTTGAGCAAAGCTTTGCAGTGATAGAGGGCTATCTGGGGCCCATGCTGAGCAAGATCTTACAGATGGCCATAAAGAGAGTGTCGGGACTTGACTGCCGTGGGAATCCTAAGAGAGGGGAAGGACCTCTGTGTGTGTTACCAGGCTTACATAGCACAGCCTGTGCCCCCAAAACGCTGGATTTGGCCACCATCCTCAATAAAGCAATCAAAGGAGCCAAATGAATAGCAAAAAGTAAATAAAGGAGATTTATTGAGTATGGCCACACTGGGAAGAGGGGCAAAGTCAGTTTTTGGGATCCTGAAATGAGGGAGTATAGAAATGTAAACAAGAAATGTGCATCATTCAACATCCCAGTGAGGAGTGATCCCCTGCCCACTGTTGTATTCGTTCTAAGTCTGCCTGCAAGCGCATCCCATATGCTGTAAATCTTTCTCCAGGAGACACAATCCTCTTCCGGCTGAGTCCAAGCCTTCGGCTACTTCTTTCACCAAGCAGGGCACTCCTGGAGATATACTAATTTGGGAGGTCCATCTTTTCACTAGTCTGATAGCCAAAGAGGGAGCCTGAGTGTCTGTCTGCACATCCTCACTCTGCCAGACAGGCAGTTACACAGGCACGATGTGGATCGTGCCTACACTGCCTTAGAGCTGAAGGAAAATGAAGCATTTCTCTTGCTGTGGGTGCTCAGAGCTGAGTTTTCCCACAGTGCTGGGCATGAGGTCCTGGGTCCTGGGCAGGCAGAAGAGCCTACTCAACTTTTTGGTCCTGGGACTCACAGTATCCTTCTGAGAGTTCTGTTGTTGGAGTGGTACAGCAGATATCAGAGCAAGAGAGCAGAGGTTTTTTTTATTTTTAATTTTATGTGCATTGGTGTTTTGACTACATGTTTGTCTGTATGGAGGTGCCAGATCTTGGAGTTACAGACAGGTTTGAGCTGCCATGTGGGTGCTGGGAATTGAGCCTGGATCCTCTGGAAAAGCAGTTGGTGCTCTTAACCACTGAGCCATCTCTCTGACTCCTGGGGAACATAGTTTTAATGAGAGTTTAAAGGCTCAACAGCATGAGTGCTGAGAAGGGAAGGGTACACCCTGGGGTCACATGATGCTCAGTGTCTCTCAAAGGCTATGTGTTGAAGGCTTGATCCCCAGTGTGTGACACTATAGGGAGGTAGGGGAACCTTCGGAGTCACTCTAGTGTCACCAGGGAAACAGGTTCCTTTTGGTAGCTTAGTCTGCTTAGTAAAAGACTTCAGAGGGCTGGAAAAGAGGATCCGCACTTAAGAGCATTGCTGCTCTTGCAGAGGGCCTGGGTTCAGTTCCCAGCAGCTGCATGGTGGCTCAACCATGTGTAACTCCAGTTCCAGAGGACCCAATGCCCTCTCCTGGGTTCCTCACACATGACGGATATTGAGAACAAAAAACCATGGCATTTGCAATAGAAGCTGACATAGCAGCCACATGGTAAAAGGTATGGGAGGCTTCAGAGAAAGACTGAAAAGGTCTAGAACACCAGGAAAAGTTCAAATTCCCAGAACCCACGTAAAAAGCTAGGCATAGTCATGCATGCCCTTGGCCCCGGTGATGCCCAGCACCTAGCTTAAGTGGGGAGCTTCAGCTTCAGAGAGACACCCCATCCTAGAGGAACCAATTAGATAGTGACAAAGCAAAACACATCCCACTTTGGCCACTGCATGAGTGTACACCTGTACACACACACAGGCACGCATATATGTGTGCATCCACCCTGCACACACACACACACACACACACACACACACCAAGACAGTTCATTTTAATTGCTAACTTGACACATTCTAGAAAATCCTGGGGGTTGTCTAGATCAGGCGGGCCTCTGGGCATGACTACGGGGGATTGCTTTACATGAGTGAGGGTGGCAGACCTGTCTAGTTGTTGGCAGCCATTCCAAGGGTCTGAGTCCTAGACTGTGTAGGGAGGTTGAACACAAGGAAGCCCACATGCGCACACTCCTTTCTCTCTGCTTGCCTGGGGGAGAGATGCCGGGAGCTATACTAAGTTCCTTCCACCTCGACTCTGCAAAGGCTGATGGTGGCCTGGAACTAAGAAAACCTTTCTCCCCTAAGTTGCTGCTGTTCTTTCCAGAGTATTCCATCACATCAAAAAGGAGTGAAACTTGGCTGTTTGTGATGTACTATCTAAGTAAAATTTCTGTTTTCTGAGTGTTACAATCCGTGATTGCTATAACATGATTTGTTATGTTGAGTGGAAAAAATGGCGGGAACCTGGGCCAAGTTAGCAAAGCTAAGACACTGTTTCTTTAAATAAAATTAGTTAACTAAATAATTATAAGGGAATGTAAGTCGATATAACTATAAAAAATTTACAGAAATACATTTGTTATCAGGGCAAGTTATTATGACCATAAAAGACAGAGAATGGAGACATGGTAAAGACAATTTATTTATTTTTTCGATGTCTGCAGTTTCCATTTTCTTTCTCCTTCATGTCTCATGATAAGGAAACATAATTATCATCAATAACGGATGAAGTCATGGTACAAATTAGGGAAGCAGTGGATGAACATCGAATACAGAGTCCCCAACCAAACAGCTCTGAGGGTCTGGCAGAGCTGGTCACTGCTTACTCCTGATGGAGTGAAGGGCCATGGGAAGGGCTCTGGAGTCAGATTGCATTCTGCCAATGTTGGTACATGTAGTAAGAGATGGGCTGAGCCCCATGGTACATGCTGGACACAGGCATGTGTAAGCTGTGCCCTCCAAACTGCTGGGTACATCAAACTGCAATGAGAACAAGGGGGGGCATCTTCATCGTCTCTTACTTCCTTTCTGCCTCAGTCTCACCATCGCGAGCCCCGCTGGCTCACCCCCAACACCAGCATCAAGTGCACCACCTACTGCTTCCCAGCTCTGAAGGCGAGGATGTAAAGCTTTCACTAGACACACGATAAATGATAAATGGACGTTTGTTGGGGAACACTTACACAGACAATAATAAAGAACCATGGGAGCGATTCTCTGCCCTGCCTATAGGATCCAGAGAAAGAGCCCATGCAAGCGAGACCACGCCTCATGCTTCCCTCTTTCCGCTTCCTTCTGCCTGAGGTCCCGCCCAAAGGGGTGTGGCCACTGTTACAGGTTCCCTGCAAAGACTCTGCTAGACAGTTCTAATTTACTCCCAGATTCAGCACCCTTTATTTCACACTGGGGCCTCTGTAACAGCCACCCTCGTGGCCATCCTGCCTCACTCCCGTTCTTCTTCAATCTGTTCATTCCTGGTGGCTGTGTCACAGTATTTGAGACACAATGACAGTCTTGCCACACCCTGACTTAAAGCCTTCTCAATTTGTCTTCCCTGCTCCCAACTCCTTCCCCTCTCCTTCCAGTTCACGATGCTCAGGCCACATGAGTTCCCTCCTACGCTTCCCCTTCCGCTCCAGGGTATTGTCTCTAATGAGAAGACCCACCCGGCTCCAAACAGATTCACATGTCTGCCTCCCACTATAGCAGTCCCGACATTCGTTCACTGTCTACGAACCCCACTCACTGTACACCTACCACTGATCTGGCCTTTCCTTTGGCCTCTCTCAATCTCACATCCCTTTATTATTTGACCAAACAATTCAAGGATATACCACAGATGGGAGGCTTACGTCATGTTGCCTCCTTTCGGGTAACCTGTCTGACTGCTGGGTATCTCCAGGCACACAGTAGAGGAATGCGCATGAAGACAGCCCATCTGCTCCTGTGTAGCCTGCTCTGGCTGCAGTAAAGCATCGTATGGAGGCATGAAGAGACACAGCATGTTCCAAGCTTGTTAGGTCTAGGTCTGAAGGAGGAAGACAAGGAGAAGAAGCTAATGTAAGGCATGGTTGGTAGACCTGAGTGTGCTGGACACTTCAAAGGACGAGTGGACACAAGACACGGGTGAGGGGAGGGTGCCAGTTGGTTCTTGTCCAGCAAACCCTTTCGGGAAATTTTATGATGTCAAACAAATACTCCTGAGGATAAGATGTTCAGGGAAGAGAAGGGAACTGGGTGAAAGACCTGGTCCCACTCAACCCTAGTAGACTGGAATTGGTGAAAATTGTTTTTCTATGTTAAAAATGAAAAGAGAACAATGCACACAGTTTAAGAGACAAACTTGGTGCGCCTGGAGCCTAAACACCTTTAGAGAGCAGCCCTCCCTTGTGAGTGGGATTGCTGGAAGCAAAGAGAACCTCTGCACTGCAGTCTCCATCTCCCAGGGGCTGCCCACACATTGTCCTTCAGGGAGCACTAAGAGTTTACAGAACGCTTGTCCTACAGGTGGCTGTATCCAAGGCATCTGCATCGCTTATGTGTCTGTAATCTGTAATATTTGGACTTATGCCAGGGTAGTTGGTGTCTCTGGCCAGAAGGCAAGGGCTCAGCCTTCCGGCCAGGCTTCCCGGGATCAGCTGGAGTTCCTGGGAGCTAGGACAGCTCTGAGGTATCATATGCCATCACCCACATCCATGTGAGCCTCCAACCAGAGAAGGATGAGGCCCACAGGCTCTCCCTGCCCTGCGATCCCTAGAAGCTTCTAGACTCCCTGCAACTCTGCTTGAGATTCCAGCAGAGTTTCCTCACACCGGTAGAAGTTTTACATGGTCTTATTTTGAAATACAACTGGATAAATGAGAAGTTGAGAATGAGAGAGAAAGGGAGACAGAGAGAGGCAGTTGTGCAAGAGAGAGAGAGAGAGAGAGAGAGAGAGAGAGAGAGAGAGAGAGAGGGGAATGGAGGAAGGGAGAGCTGAAAACTAAATCTCAGCATGTATGTAAGGAAAAACATAATGGAACAGTGAAAAAAACTTAATTCTGTCTAAATAGGTCTATAGTTGACACAGCATAACATTCATCCATTTAAAGTGCACGGCCCGGAGGTTTTTAGTGTATTTATCAAGCTGTGTGGCACTAGCCTCATTCTAATTTTAGAACATTTCCACCACTCTCCCGCCCTACCCCTCCAGGAAACTTGCCCCTGAATGGCCCCTTCCACCCATCCCCCAGCTCAAGCAAGTGCCAGCCCACTTTCCCTCTCTGGATTACCTATTCAAGATGCTCCTGGAAAAGGAACCTGCATCCGTGGCCCTGTGAACACACGGGAGTCGTTCCCATTGGCCGTGATGGATAACGCTGTATTGATCTTCCCTCACAGGCCTTTGTGTGCACAGCTGTTCAGCTTCCACCCCAAGTGTTTCCTGTAAGGGCTGCTGAGTCGTAGGCTGACTCTGCTTGAGGTTCTGAAGAACTCCCATCTGTTTTCCTAAGTGGTCCTTATGGCAAACACAGTACAAAGCAGGGTCTGGGACCCTGGTGAGATGTGTCTAGTGCTCCACCTTAGAAACACAGAGTTGAGCAGAGTCATGATAAGAGGCCAGGCCACACCCTGTAGATCCCTTGAGAAATTGAAATGACTTCCACAGGAAAACTTGCACATGAAAGTTCCCAGCAGTCTTGTTCACGATAGACAAAAAGGAGAAGCAACCCAACTGTCCATGAACTGAACAACGGATAGGGAAACAATGGTATGTCCACACGAAGAATTGTTACGTGACCATTAAGAGGAATGAAACACCATTACTTACCGTAATGCAGATAAGAACTGAAAAACCGGACAAAGGAAAGAGGGCCTTCACCAAAGCCTACAGGCCATCTATCCAACTCATCATGAGATGGTTCCAGAACAACAAATGTGTGGAGAAAAAGGTGGAGCCATGATTGCTCAAGATTGAGGGATGGAGATAATGCAACAGGGAAAATGATGGGGATGTACCAGTTATGCGAGTTAATCTTTTCTTCTCAGGTTTCTCCTCCTATTTGTTCTCTCTGCCTGAGAACCCTGCCTATCCTTTCTCCTGCCTCACCAATGACCGTTCAGATCTTTATTAGACCAATCAGGTGTTTTAGACAGGCAAAGAGTTAAACAAATGCAACGTAAAAGAATGCAGCACATCTTTGCATCATTAAATAAATATTCCACAGCATAAATTAATTGACACATCTATAACTAATCTTCCACAACAGAAAGATCTCTGGTAAAGGTGATCACATGACATGTTACAGACATGAGCGTGCTTAGGAGGTAGAGCAGAGGGAATCCGCATTTCAAGGTCATCCTTAACTGCACAGTCAGTTCTAGACTAGACTGTGCTCCCCAAGACTCTGTCTCAATCCAAGAAATAAAGTAACATTAATACAACACAGTGTGCTATGACACAATACAATAAGACCCAACACTGCATGATGTTTAGTCTACATGATTCTAGTGACTAATGTATGAAGACATAGTAATCACACATGTAAGTGTGACATCAGCAACTGAGGAAGTAGAGTAGAGCAGTCTTCCATGGCCTTTGAGCTACACTGCTGTAGCTTACTCCAGACAGTCATCACTTTTGCATGTTAAATGGGATCTCCATGGAAACCATGGAGGACTGGCCCTACAATGTACACTAGTAAACTCCCAGGGCTTTCTCAGTTAGTGAAAGTACCATCAGGATGTAAAACTTTTCTGCACATCAGCACACTTAAGCCTAACCTGAATCCTCCCGGCAAACATAAGGAGTAGGTTGAAGTTTGGGACACATAGTTTAGATGTCAACACACATCTGAAGAGAAAGTGAGAGAGGACAGGAGATGCCTGCAGTAAAGTTGAGTGAGGGATCACACTGAGTTGGGCAAATGTGTCCAGAGCAGAGTGCAATATGAGGAAAGTCCCACAAGGGGACATTATCTGGAGGCACCAGGTCCCTCCCAGCAGGTCTGTGTATGGGGTCACATTTTGGTCATCCCAGGTTTAGGAGCTCCATAACAATAGTGAGAGTGACATGTGTTGGGAAGGTGACTACGTACCTAAAGGCTCCATAGGCATAGTCTAGGGCAACCATCAGCTTACCTCTCTGCTCCATTCTCTTCTTGGTCCCCCCTTCTGCCCAGCCTTAGATCACCTTATGCTTGCCTACCATAAACTTAGGGATTCATTGCTGTTCCTGGAGGAATCATATTTTTCCATGTCTAAGCACCCTGGTGTAGTGTACTATACAGTGTCACTTTGCTTTTGGAGGGTCACAAAGTCTTCATCTGCACTCCTCTAGCAGTAATGATGGTTGCTGGGCAAGAATAGGAGACAGGGACATCTAGCACACCTGCGGAGGCTTGGTAACTTTGGTATGGGGTTCTAAGAGTTCATTATAGACAAATAATTCCCAATTATTTCATTCTTAGGCTTCAACAAGAACTGCAAATTGCAAATCACCTCAGGGGCTAAAAACAGAGTAAACAATTGATCACAATAGTAGAGGAATATTTCCATCCTGGCAGAAGACCAAATGTATATGTGTCAAGGTGGCTTGAGATAAACACATGCAGGGATAGAGTACAAGTGGGCTTAAGAGGCTTTCAGCTTACTAGGATGTCACAGTTAGCTGGATTATCAACACCAAAGAGCAACAGCAGTCATACACACAAGGTTCCCAATATAGAAATGAGTATGTGGCCTTAAGCTCCCTAAGAGAGATGGTCTTTGGGTGTGGCAGACAGTAGGATAAGGGTTCATGCTGGAGCTAGTGATTGTCTCTATGTCAGATTGTTTACCTGAAGCACAGGGGAAACCATGGAGACGTTCCAGGAAAGTTTAACTGAGGGTAGGATACCCTCCCCTAGGGTAGATAGCACCATCCAGCTGTGGCCGAGGTGTTAAGAAGACCCAAGACAAAGTGGAATGGCCTGCCTGCCCACCTTAGCTTCTCACTGCTGAGTGTTCATGCCCTCTCTTTGCCCATGCAAACTTTCAGTGACTTTGGACCTTCCAAACTGGACCGAAGGCAAATGACCTTCCAGAAATCCTCAGGCCCTCAGCTGCAGTCTGGACTGAGCAATTTCAGGCTTCTCAGCCTCTCCGGTGGGCAAATAGGCATTGTTGGACTACCTATCCCTTATCCTGTAAGCCAACCTAATAAAGTCTGTGTGTGTGTGTGTGTGTGTGTGTGTGTGTGTGTGTGTATGCAGATGTAGAGTGATATATAGTGATAGAGATATTCATTCTGTTGGTTCTGTTTCTTTAATGACCCTTGACTAATATAAAGCATTTTAAATATAAAGCAGTCTGATGATTAGAAGAACAGATCACCACATCCTAATGGCTTTGTTCTGACAGACCTTGGCTTCTTTTGGAAAATATGACTATAGGTGTCAAGGGACAGCTTGCAGCAGCTTTGCCAGGAGACTAGGAAAGAGCTGCAGAGCAGAATTCTCATTCACTCCTATGTCTTGTTCAGGTAGGACAAGGTGGGTGTACAAAGGCCACAGGGAAACTCCACCCATGAGGCTGGAACCAGGTCATCAATAGCTCTTGCTCAGTCTCCTTCCTGCTAGCAAAGGGCCCTGTGGTTCCCGAGCCTCAGCTTTGCCTGGGAGCTCCCAGCAGGCTCTTAGAAACCTGTTGCTTTGTGTCTTGTCTTCTCTGCTTCCAGTGCCCAAAACTAAGTGTTCTGCAGCAACTGAGCACAGTCTCCTCTTGCTCAGACGTTTATGTGGAGTGACCATGCATGCCCTCTGAGTGGAGGTTTCCACCGCTCCCCCAGAAGGTCCTCAGCTAGAACATCTCCACGTCTACTCAGGCGGCTGCCTCACTTCTCTGAGGATTCTGTCTGCTTTGCAGAAGATGTGGGCACAGCTGTTCTGTCCACGGAGCATCCAGTCTGATGCCATCTCTGATTCCCACTGTCTCCTGGGACCTGTTTTAGACAATGTCATCTGGTCTACCTTTCCAAACAAAAGGGGAAAATGGGTTCCAGTCCCTGGGACAACACATCCATGTGTAGTTACCGGGAAATTCGGAAGATCCCCTTGAGTTACCTGCATCCAGTTGATGAGGAAGATGAAGAAGGACCACAGTGGAACCAGGTGTGGCGTCATGTGCTCAGCTGAACACATTCTATGTTGGTTCTTTCCACTAGTCATGTCTGTGAGCTTAAATGAGTGTACATCAGGGTGATCACTGCACCCTCTCTCAGGGAAGGCCTGCCTGATATGTTCTCACACTTGTTGCAGCAACATCCACCTCACTGTCATTGCTTACAAGGAAGAAGAGTCGGGAGAATAGAAATCAGCTAGTAGCCTTCACCTGCCCTGAATAGCATAGCCAGATGAGTCCCTTACCAGGCTATAAGGCATCAAGAAGACCAATGCTCATTGGGGGAACTTGGTTTGGTTTGGGTTTCCAACTGGTTGTTGTTCTGAGGATTGCCTGGCACACTCTATCAGCGAGCCATATCTGCCATCCCCAAGGTTCTGCGTTGAGTCAGACAGGCCCTGAGCATTCCTCTGGATGTGTTCTTGCGGGTTTCAAACCACACTTAGCGGACAGTGGGACTCAGCCTTGAAAAGGGTCAGGAGGAGGGTGGCTGAGGAATCTGCCTTTCTTTCCCATCTGAAGTTTTCTTATTCTAACGCTGAGCAGTGCTGGCTGCAATCACATTGTCTGGGACCCACCAGCCCGCCTCCTGCCCTGCACAAAGTCAGCAAGCCACAGAGCTTGAAGGAGCCCTGTGACACCCTGCTATTCAAAGCACCTCCTGTGGCCTCCCTTTATACTCAGCTCAGACCCTGAGCCCTCCCTGGACCCTGACTTCTCTCCTGGCTTTGGATCTCTAACTGCTCACTCACTCTCTTGGCTCCTGAGGCAGGGCTTGGGTTTTGTTATCTCTTTCTGCTGGAGAGGAAAGTGGTTTCCTGCACAGCCAGAGCCTTCCTGTGTTGACTTTAAGGCTTCAGTCTCTCTGTATGTGCAGCCAGCTGTCTCTGGAACAGAACACCCTTTTCACTATTTCCTCTATTTTCAGAGTCCTGGCTCTGAGCTGCCCAGAGCCTTAGCTTTTCTAGAAAGCTAGGTTATAGAGGATCAAGGCAACCACAATAACATCTCTAGCATATCTCTTTCTCTAAGAGGCTTATGCGCATTCTGTGCCCGTGGCCACATAAGCTCCCAGTAGCCTGCAATATAGCAGCTGCAGGTGTTTACGGAGAGATCATGGGTTTTCAGCCATGCTGTAAACATGTGATCAGAGGCTGAGCCATGGGAAGTGCAGGCTGTAACTAGAAATGCCTGAGTTGTGGGAAGTTCTTTTTCCACTGCGTAGGTTCACAGAGGCCTTGCTTTCATTTTCATAAACAAAAGGGTATTTCCACCATCTGGGGATGCTGGTCCTCAAATCTCCAGTGGCTCACCCTGTGGGTCAGCATCAAGCAGGCGTGCTTCGGCCTGGTGTTGCAGGATAGACCTCTCCTTTGCCAGCCCCTTGTGTATCTCTTGAACTCTGCGTTTACTCCCTGCGTTCAGGAGCCCAGCAAGCTTCAGCTCTAGTGTCAAGGTCTCTCCCTTACAGTCTGGTTTTCTTCACACCTTAGACTTCTGTGTGTCACAGATGAAACTGCCTTCCTTGGGAAGCACAGTTGTGAATTGTTTAGAACAGCTAGTTTTATCTTTCCTCCTACTTTTATTCTATTCCTTGGTTATAGCCATGAAGCTAAGCACAGAAATCCCACCTTTTACTCTCTCTGTGTCTCTTTGTCTCTGTCTCTCTCTCTTTCTCTGTCTCTGTCTCTCCCCCGCCCCTTCAGGGGCCTTCTTATAGCTGGGACAACAAAGAGCCCAGCATTTATTTACTGGAAACCACCACTTAACTTTACTTATGATTTATAAACGAGGAACTGGGAGGTGTTAGTTGGAAAAGTCTAGCTTAGGCCTTTGATGGAGCCATAGCAGAAGGCTTTGCGGGCTGGCCCTGAGGGATGGCTCGCTCACAGACAGGGATTGACATGGCTATTGAGTATAGCTGCATACCCTCATCTCAGGGTCTCAAGGCTACAAGCATCTTGCATGGAGCCTGGCTCACTTTGAGTCAGATCTCCAGAGAACCAGGAACAGGTGAAATTCCATTGCCTGCTTTAGACGTGCCACTGTGATATTTCCACTGTCCTGTGAGCAGAAGATGGCCACAATTCCTGGGTGTGTATGTGTGTTGCCGGGGTGTGTGTGTGTGTGTGTGTGTGTGTGTGTGTGTGTATGAGTGAGAGTGCTTGGAATTTCACTCTTGTTGATGACTGCACTAAGGCAATCAAATACACAGGCCCAGGGCAGAGGATTATGCTACAGTCTTCCTAGATAACAAACCTCCATCAAGAGGCCTGGTATTACAGTACCTGCTGGTCACTCTCATCATGCTATCTGTGCTCTATCTTCTGAGAAAATGGGTGATAATCAATTCCAGGGGTTCCAGCTGGGACTGTGACAGCCTCTCTCACTTTTGGCTCCTGATTCATCAGAAATCTATGATGGTGGTTTACAAAGAAACATTGTCCTGCTCATTTCAGGCTCATCAATTAGAATCCCTGATGATTTTTAAGTGAGCCCGAGGCTGGGGCCATTTTCATGTACAGGCCTGGAAAGCTGGGGAAACATTCCTTGGGGTTGGACTCATCACCTGTTGCTGGGTAGAACGGGCTTCCGGAGCTTACATCATGGAAACCAGCAAGCATTTACTATAGCAAGGGTTCTGTTTACGTCATGGAAACCTGCTTGCGTTTGCTATCGCAGGGGTTCTGTGGCCGCAGAGCAGGCTGGGTATGGCTATTGGTCTCTGACTTGCGTTAGCCTCCAGGCAGCAGAAAGGTTCTGGCCAGCACTGCAGTTCTTTCAAGACTCGCCTTGGGGCTGATCTGCTCCCTTGATCATTGCAGCTTCTGTAAGCTCTCCAGGCTCCACCGCAGGACCACAGACATGAATTCCATGAGATTGTGAGGTGGTGGCGTACTCACTCTGAACCCTGGAAAGGAAGACAAGCACTCAGAGATGGTAATGGGGCAGCAGAAAGACAGAGGGGAGCCCCAGTGCAGTGTGATGTGAAGGGGGTCCTCGAAGCTCAACCTGTGCACCTGGGCCCTTGTTCCCCATCTACACGCGTGGAGCAGGGAAGAAGGAGCAGTGAGAAGGCATGAGCATGGATACTGACCACATAGCAGATAACTGAAGTCAGAGCCAGATACTGACCACATGGCAAGGACATAGGTCACAGTGCAGACTATACCAGCCCTACTCATTTCAAGAATGATAAGCCTTCATACTGGAAAGAACAAGTCAGTAAAGTCCTTGTTTACAAACATGAGGATCTGAATTCAGATCCCCAGCACCCAAGGGAAAAGTCCAGGCACGGTTGTTTGCCTTTAATTCCAATTCTGGTAAAGCAGAGACAGGAGGATGTCTATGGATTCCTGGCTTGCTTTCAAATAGTTTTCCCCTCTCTTACACTGTTCAAGGCCCCACGCCTAGGGAATGGTGCCACCCATATTGGGCTAGGTCTTCCTACATCAACCAACAAGATAATACCTAAAAGACACTCTCAGAAGTCAGTTTAGTTTTGATGATTGTTCATTACGATGCTCTAATATGATTCTAGGCTGTGTGTATTTGATAGTTAAAACTAACCAGTATCCTGTACATGCACGTTCATGCAGGCACTTGAGTGAGCACATGCACACACACAATCACTTAATCCCAGAAAGGAAACCTATGTCACACCAAAGTAACAAGTACACCAATAACAGAAGAATGGGTGAGGAGTTTCTCACAAGATTCAGAGTCAACTAAAAAAATGAAAATAGACAAACAAACACCTGAGCTTCATTACTGGAAAGGCCACTTCAAAGTAGGAGCTGTCCCCGGAAAACTGCAGCCCTGGAACTCTCTGAACCTTGCAGGCAGCTCCACAGTTGGAATACCTGTTTTTTCTTGAAGTTTGCTGGTCAGAGTTCCTTCTCCTATCAGCTGCTTACTCTTTCTCATACTTCTTTTCCAAGGCTTTCAAGAATAGTCCAGGTGTCTGTTTTCTCAGTTGCCTGACCTGTGGTTTATCTCTAGATGCTCTGGGCCTTCCCTGTTCTTGGAATGGGCATGTTTCCATTAGGAGGGGATGTTGTATTTAGGAGGGAAGTACCGCAGTGATAGCTCACTCCTTCCTCTGCTCTTCAATTCTTTCCAACCTCTCTTTCACAGGGTTCCCCGAGTCTGGAAGAGGTGATAGAAATGCCCACCTATGGTAAGAGTTGTGTCCCTAAGTCACAGCACATACCTGTTCTCAGGACCTTCATGGATGTTATTAGTCTTCATTCTCTAGCATCCTTGGGGGGTCATGAATGCTTTGTTTTTGTGACAATTGAGTCTGACAGTGACAGTGATGTTTGTTTGCTCCCACCCTCTGCGTACTGGCATCTGCATGGAGGAATGGTGTTCCTTCTAACCTTTGTCTGGCTTAACTGTTGGTTCAATTTTTGGGAGTGTCTCAGTGACTTAAAAAGGCACTGTCCCCAGTACAGCCCATATGGCATTGGTGGCAGGGCTCACACACATTACACCACTTTGTTGTAAATATGTATACCACTTTTATAAGGTATGATTCTGTTCCACCCCAGATAGGCTTGGCCAGAAGGCTTTTAGTCCAACCTATAATTACATAAGCTGTTTTGATGGTGACTGGGATGGGGCCAGAGATGAATTCTGCCCACCAATGCTTTATATACAGGTAGCCATTACTGTTCTGGTACAAAGCTTCTGCCATCTTCCATACCTGGGACCACAACCCTGTTGTAACTGCTTGCTCAGGTTGTTTCTGTCATATCCCTTCTGTTCTGGTGATTTCTAACATGGAGGGACACTGGGGTGATGGGCTACACAGCTGTTCAGCCTGCCTCACAAGAGTCTTAGCCTGTTCAAATCCCTTTGAGCTTTCAAGCTTCTGGTTTCATTTGGAATTTATCAAGCTATACAGAAGATGCGTGGCTAAGCAAGGTAGGCTGTGAAAATCCACCATTAACCCTGAAGCCCCAAGACCTGCAGCTCTTTTGCATTTACAGACACTGGCTATCGTACTATCATAGGGATCTTTCCAGGTGAGCTACCAAGCACGTCTTACAGTGCTGTAACACTCCCAGGAATTGCAGCTGAACCTGGGATTGCATCTTGTGTGCTGGATTCATCTCCTATCCTCATTCCTTCAGGTGCACCTGCAGTCCTCTGCGTGTGGTTTTCTCAGGGACCATGTCCTTTAGATGTCACTCACTCAGGCGCACCTCTGTGTCCCTTACATGCTGTTCCTTCAGGTGCACACCCATGTGCTTTTAGGTGCTATTCTCAATCTGGAAAACACTCTGGGTAGCATTATGTCATTAATTCAATGAATCCTTTTGACAGAGGAGACAGGATAACAAAGCAAGGTCCATAACCACCATCCCATGACCAACAGTGGGTACTGAGAAGCTGACCCTGGGGAAGTACTCTGAATGTTCTCTGGTAACCAGTCCATGTAAATACAAATGAGTCTTGGGACCTCGTAGCTAAAGGATTACTGAAAAATGACAAGGTCTATCATGGAAACACTTCCTCACCTGTACCAGATGTTCAGTCCAAAGAGAAACATTTTGTAGAGGCATGCATGGGAGAACTACTTTTCTTAGCCATCTAAAGCCTACAGTCGTTCTCCAGGAGCCATGGCTTTTTCATGGGCCATGCTGAGTTATTGCAAGGGCTCTGAGCTGGATAAATAATCTCTACCCCCTCCTAATTCCTTAATAGCTTGTGTAATTTCATCCTGGCCTCCCTCCTGGGTAGTCTAGACTGCTTGGCCTCCGTCACTTTACTTGCTTTAGACACTTTTACAGATTCCCGTCTTGCCCAACTACGCATAGCTGGCTTCATCATCTGCATTCCTAGGCAAAACTCTCCAACAGTTATATACAGGGTGTGGTCCAACAATATATTTATCCCAAGAATGTTCTCCTGCAGTGGAGAGAACACACTGTACTGGGGTGGGATAATCCCCCCCAACAACAAGCAAGTCCCTTTACCTGCACTGGCATGTCCCTACATCTACCCATTGTGGCTCATTGTCCCTGGTGTTTTGGCCATGAATTGAGGTGCATTCGTCTCCAATATCCACAAAAGCCCAAATATTTAGCACGTTAGTGGGGGACCAATGAATCCGTAATTCAACCTGAGGCCTCAGGTCACTGTGTATGTCCCTCAATCGCTGGCACCCTTGGCTACCTAAGCCCAGGAATGTGTTGGGTGGCTCCCACTCCAGGCATCTTCTTGCATAGGTGGTACAGTGGGGACCACCCCTGTCTTCCACTTCCCTTCATCATTTGCTGAACCTACTGGTCAAGTGTCAAGGTCTTCCTAAGACCCACAGCACAGATTTTGGCTTCTTTTAATTTCCCTAGAAAATCTACCTGGATAGCGTTCTTGCTGCATCTGCCTGTGGGTGATTTGGATGGGACCCATTGTGTGCTCACTCCTCTCCTCTTCCTCCTCCCAAGAGCTTTAGCACTCTACACATTGACCCACACGCGGGTCTAGAATGCTGAGATTTGCCAAAGCCTCTCCGACTAGACCATAAACCACCACAAGACTCAATAAAACCACCATGGCTCCATACCAATCTTAACAATCATGCTGGAAGAACTTTTGTTGTTTTTTTCCCCTCAATATACGTTTTTATTTAAATTAGAAACATGAATGCTTCACATATCAATCCCAGCTCCCTCTCCCCCCTCCTCCCTTGTCCCTCTACCAGCCCCCCAGTCCCCCACCCAATCCCCACATCATTCCCCAGGGAGGGAATCTCCAAAGTCTGTCATTTCATCCAGAGTAGGACATAGGCCCTTCCCATGTGTCCAGGCTGAGAGAGCATCCCACTATTTGGAATGGGCTCCCAAGGATCATTCATAAACCATGGTAAACACTGATCTGCTACCCAGGCCCCAGTGATTTCCATGGCCTCCTCGCTGACACTACATTCATGGAGTCTGGATCAGTCCCCTGTTGGCCTCTCAGCCATCAGTCTGGGATTCAAGAGCTCCCCCTTATCTGGTCAGCTGACTTTGTGGGTTTCACCATCATGGTATTGACCCCTTTGTTCATCACTCCTCCATCTCTGTCACTGGGTTCCAGGATTTCAGTTCAGTGTTTAGCTGTGGGTATCTGCCTCTGCTTCCATCAGTCACTGGATGAAGGTTCTAGGATGGCATATAAGGCAGTCATCAACCTTATCATCAGGTAGGGGCTATTAGTGTAGTCTCTCCACTATTGTTTAGTTTGCCAGTTGGTGTTATCCTTGTAGATCTCTGGAGATCTCACTAGTGTCAGCTCTCTCCTCAAGCCTATAATGACTCTATCTATTATGGTATCTCTCATCCTGCTCTCCTCTAGTGCCCTGTGAACATAGTTCTACCAGGCCCACTGACCCAAGGACCAAACATAGCTCCTCATATCCCTAGGTCTGATAGCAAATCCTATTATTACTCTATTGTTTTCCATTCCCAGATAACTTCCAGGGACTTCCGATGGAGAGAACCAAGTGCCCTAATCTGATAAGCCAGTCTGTCAGGGACTGCTTTCCTTCGGTCTCAGGATGCAGCCTGCATTTTGAGGGATGAGTAGTGATACTGTTCAGTTTTATGGCTTCGACAGTCATCAGACTGATCCAGTGCATTCCCCTGTCCCACAGTCTCTTTCATTGCTTGTTTAAAGGACTTGCCCAATTCTATTGGTTCAGGTGCGACTATTCTCTGGGGCTGGACCACAGTTAAGACTGGATGTTAAACCAATTCCTTTTTGCCTACCAAAGATCATACTGGGTAGTGACCCTCTCATCACTTCTATTATATTCTCCCCACTCTCTGGTTCTTCCCATGGGTTCAAAGGTCGTGGCTCCCAGGAAGGGCTTTTCAGCATGGATCTAACTGGTTATCTCCTTTTTCTTTTGATCTTCAAGCCAAAGACATGCAAGCCAACACCTCTATCTCATCCTCTAATTTATCGAATTTACCCGCTAGAGGGGAAGCTACCATGGAAATGTTCTACTAGGGGCCATTCCCTTTCTCACTCTGATTTCTCCTTCACATAAACAAGTTCCTTTTGGGCCGCCACTTTGGCCTTGGATGCATTTCTTACTACATACCACAGTGGCCAGACAATCTCAATCTTTGCATGCTACTCTCAAATGTCTCAAAATCTTCCCTAAGCCTTAACTGCTTTAAGGACACACCTCAAGCAAACATGCTCAGCCTAGTAGCATGCCTCACTTCCTATAGCAAGAGCCATGCAACGGCTGCCATAGCAAAAGACACACTACCACACACCACATGAGAAAGGGTGGCTGTATCAGAATTCCTTCTGCAGATGTTCCAACTTCAGGCTGCTCAGTCTCTGGTGGAGGCTACCCATAGCACCAACCATGCAATGATCCTCTCCAATCCCTCCAGTTTTATCATGTCCCTGGTTAGGGAGAAAATGCAGTATGACAAACGTTTCCCAGGGAAACACAACACAAATACATTTGTCCACCCCAGAAAGGAAGTCCACGAGAGTCCAAATTAGCAAGTACACAATTACACGAATGTTCTATTTGGTGAGACAATGAGGTTTTATTGGGGTTACTACCAGGAATATTGATGAGGGATTATGTGCAAGGTACAGCAATGACTCTGAGGAAAAAAGACATTTCTACCACTGGAAACCCCACTCAAACTTGGGGGACAGTCCACAAAGGCCACAGACCTGGGGGTCTCTGCACAACTTGCAGGAGGCTCCACAGTCTAAATGTCTCCTCTGCATCTGCACCACTCAGCTTGTCTTCCCCCGACTATTTGGAGGGAAATGTCATACAAAGCCTTCCTCCAAGAAGACACATATTTCATTCAGCCCTCTTTCAGTGTACAGACCCCAAAGGTAATCAACTGTTGGAGGGTTCAGTCCATGATCCAGTCCCCAGCCCGTCTAGAACTCCCACAATGCTGTATGCACCGAACCTATCAGCATGGGTCTAATGATGGCGCCTCTCGTCTGCACTTACAAAGGTACAAGAAAGGCTCTGTGGCCTAAGCTGTAGCATTCCTCATTCGATTATGGGAAGACTACATCAGAGGACACTGTGGGATGGGTGACTAAGAACTGTGTGCGTGCAGCAGCAGTGTAGAGACGGGACCCTGTGGTTGGTTCCCAGGTTACTGGAGGAGACCTACAGAAGACCCGGGCACCCTGTGTTTCCACTCTATTGTCTTCATTCCTTAGGACAGAGGGTGTTTTCACTTTGGGAAAGTTTTACTAAGCTAATGGAAGGAACTGACTAAAAATGGAGGAGGGAGGGGGTAAGAGAATAAGCTGCAAACCTCACCCTGAGAGGAGTTCAGAGTTTGGCATTTCTGATGATACTACTGTTTTCCAATTGGTTTGCAGGCATTCCAGGGTAGAAAGAAACCTGAATCCTGACAGAAAACACACCAACACTGGGTGTCCCGTAACAGCGGAAAGGGGGCTGGGGGATGTGTGGGGACAATCCGTGCCACCTGGACACCTCTGTGCTCTGCAAGTGGGGAGACAGGTTATTTTAGAGAAAAGCGAAGCAGTACATGGAAACAGCCATGCACTGTCACACTTAAGCAGTGCAATTGGCGGATTCCCTGAAGATGAGGGCGCCATTGTGAGCCTTGAGGCTCTAGGCTGGGCACCGTCCCTGACATCAGGGCCTCTTCTTGTGGGATGAGAACAAAAGGTAACAGCGGCCATCACAAAAGGAGATTTCAGAACTGTGTCATTATCCCTGCAAGAACAATAGAGAGAAATGAGGAGACCAAGTCTGAAGGCTAGAAGAGACACAAACAAATTCTGTATACTTCTCCCTGCTATTCTTTCAGACATGTCTTAACAATAGTTTGCTCCTAGCTTCAGAGAGTGATGTGGACACAGCTTACCAGTGGTTTTTGACTCCCTGTGAGTCTTGTGCCCAGAGGCGGCTCCACAGGGGTGCTGTCAGCCACAAAGCACTTTCCTAGGTGGCTTTTTCTCACCATCACTTAAATAGTGCTCTGTGGCCTTGAACTGTTCATGGTTGTGAATGTACTGCCCTCCTTCACCAAGCATGATTGTGAATGGACTACTCATCCATGAATACGTTTAAGCTCCCTAGGTAAAACCCCCATGTTCTCTTTAGAGAATGCCAACTTCAGTGATTCCCATGAACTCCTTACCTGCTGTGGGTGATAAATCTTCCCCGTTTCTTTATGTACCATCATCTGCTTGATTTGCCTTTGCACTCATGGACATGAGAGTCCTTGAAATTAAATTATGCAGTGTCTTCTAAACCATCCAGGTAGCCACCAACTGCATGTGTCTGCTCTGAGTTCTCTGGTTAGAACTTGTGATCTCAAATGCAGCCTGATTGGGCTGTGGCTCCTTCAGGGCAGAGCAAGCCCTTTAAAGCCAATGAGATTGTCCATATGGATGTTCTCAAGTTCCTCATATTCACATCAGCAGTGACCTGGGACAGGAGCTGGGCAAACGCTGTCCTTCCCCAGGTGATACTGGCCAGAGGACAGACACAGCTAGACACTGACTTCGCAGGGCTCAGCGGGGGACACATTCTTAAACCCTTTCAGTGTCGTCTGGAGAAGCTGTGTGGAACAAGAGACGTGGGTGACATTTCTGCTCCATGAGAATGCAAGCAGAGCCAAGAGAGAGTTTTCAGCAACGAGACCCCATGTGAGGCTGCCCAAGGGGATCCTTCTTTTAAGATCCCAGACCTTATTGAGGAGGGGAGAGGCCATAGTAACTGGTATCTGGGAAAGAAATTGTTTTGTTCCCCTCCAGAGAACATCCTTCCCTGGTAGGTCCCTGTGAGGATGGGTCATGTTCCAGAGCCCCCAAGAAACCAAGTATCAAGTCTCCACTGCAAGGGAACCTAGAGATGGCCTTCTGCAACCAGTGTTAGACAATGCAGGCTAGCAGGTTAAATGCAGCCCTGGTTACAGGTTGCAAGGTTTAGCCAAGCATGTATGAAAGAGGAAGAACATTCCGGACAAGTGGAGAGTCTGGCACAAAGTCCCATGTTCTCCAGGACCGACTCTGCAGCCTTTGCAGAGAACAGTAAGTTCGTTGTCATTGGTGTCAGAGACTACAGAGAGGCAGGTACAAAGCCTGCCTCCTTCCTTTGTGACCTCCCTTTGGTAGGAACACCAAGCAAGGACTCTTGACTCCAAGGTTTGGCTTGTCTGGCTGGCCCTCCTGTTTTCCCAGCAGCAGCTTCCACCAACATGCCTCCCTTGCCTTCCACTCCCAACCTCCCTTACATTTGCCCATCTGAGACCAAATGAAGAGAGTTTCAATGCTGAACTCATCAAATAGAGCCAGCAGAGTTGAGACCAGATTTGAAGGCCATGGTGAATCTCTGGAGTTGAAAAATGAACTCCCAACTCGGTCCAGGGCCACAAAGGACATCATGGCTAGGGCCATGCCTGCCTCAGATTACACAGGGACTGACCAAACTTGTTCTTTCCCCCCAAGAACAAGCTATTCGGTGCTTCTGAGGAGGTCCATGATGTTTCCTTCCTGGAGGTGGAAGGTGATTCTGCCACTTCCTTCAGTGTGACCCAGTACCCCACATTGTCTGGAGAGTGAAGTCCAGGGTGAGGATGTGCTGCCCAGCCCAGAAGCCCACACTGGCAGTCTGTGGGTTACACCAGAACAAGAGTGTGAAAAGCCTGATACACAGTAGCTGCTAGTGACCACATCGCCTCCACTGGGCAGGCGGAGGAAGGATAGACAAGCAATGAGCCAGTGCACAGGGTTGAGGGTGAGATAAGTCCTCACCTAATTCTCTGCTCTCGGGTAGCAAGCCAAAGGTCTGTCTGGAGAACATGCAAAAAGTTTATGCCCCCTTGAACACCTCCATCCCCTACAAGTGGGGAAGATGATCCTTGCAGAGAAAGGGTAAAATAATTCGTGGAATTGGCTGTCTGCCTTCACACTTTTGAGAACTGCATTTGGCTCCATCCTGAGGGTTATGGCCATGGGCTGGGTGCCATCCACCTAACAAGGGACCCTTCCCTCAGGGTCAGAATAAAGAGTAACAGCCGCCATTGAAATAAGAGTTTTCAATGCCATGCCATAGTCCTCTAAGAATGGGTGGGAGAAAGGAGACCAGGTGAGGAGGCCAGAGGGGCGCAAACTCAAATTGCATGTTCTTTTGCAACAAATGGTTCCTGGAATTCCTTGACTACAGGGAGCATGTCTGTGGTCATGACACAAGCATGTCAACTCCTGGAGAGCACCTCCATGTGTCCCAGAGAATAACTCTCTCTCCCTTCTGGGACCAGCACCTGGGGTTGGAGTCCCCTCACTCGTTCCCAGGAGGACAACAGAACCCACCCCATTCCCATCCCTGGCTTCATTAATCCAAACAAAAGCAAAGGCCTGCCCCAGTGAACACCCCCACACCCCCTGCTCTGACCCCCACAAGCAAGATGCTCAGTGTCACTGGTCACGTGTCCCATGCAGGACCATATGGGAATTACGTGGTGGCCAGGTTCTAGGGTGTGATGTCATGAGTGGCTGGCAGGTCATAGCATGGCCTTCCTGCCATACTAGTGGGAAGATGGTTCTGCCACTCCCTCCAGTATGAGCCAGTGCTCCACAGTGATCTGGAGACTGAAATCCAGAGTCAAGACCTGCTAGTCCAGCATATCACACCTAGCCACGCCTCAGCTCTTCCTCAGTCACCCTTTGCTCTTCAGAAACAAAATCTGGTTTGGGGCGGGTGAGGTCAGCCACCTGATCTCCCCTTCTCTTCTCTTGGGCAGATGTTAAGTCAGGATGAGGCTTCAGACACACAGCGGAATTACCATTACATTCAATGACATGATCCCCACAGACTCAGTGCCCCCTGCCTCGGGTAGCTGGCTCCTACCTGGAAGGCGCCCAGAAGAACAGACACCTCACCCAGCAGGGATCTATGCTGCTCCACTGTTTGGTGTCTGTTGGCCACATAGTGATCAAGATTTCCTTTTAAGCTTGATCCCTAAGGCAATGGCACAAAGAAGTCCCACAGCTGCTGGCCTTGTGAGGCAAAGCTGGGCCCCACGTCTGGAAATATCTTCTTACGTTGCCTCGGTGTGGCAGAAAAATCTCAAAAGTCTAGCCAAATGATAGTCAAGAAGTCCCTCAGTGGGGTAGGAAAAATTCTGCCAGTTTCTAAAATCCCAGTTCAGGGGAGCAGTACCTTTGGTTCTGTGAAAACAAAGACAAAGACACAGATGTTACCAGATCATCCCAGGCTTGGGTCAAGCAGAAGAAGCAGGAGGCACCAGTAAAGGAAGGGGCTTCCCTTATCTACAGCCCCACCCTGCCTTGGTGCCCCAGGACGGGAGGAGGTTTGCTAGGTAGCATCCTACTGATGAACCCGGCACATGCCGGAACCTACCAGAAAGAGACTGTCCTTTCTTCATGGGTCCCTGTAGAGGGCACGAGGGCCATACCATTTGCGGGAACCCCTGCAGGTACTGATGCCATGCACCCCCCCCCAACTCTCCTCTTCAGGAGAAGTTTACTCCTCCTTGTTCATGGCCTCTGTCACTAGTTCCTTCCCTCCCAGCTGCCTGACTGGCATTTCCTCTGAACAGACAGTCCCCCTTTTCCCTTACTCTGCCTCATGCCCTTCCCCTCCAATCTTCTTCCTTTTCTGTCTTCCCCATTTTCCATTCACCCGTCTGTTCCCTTTACATCCAGTCTCCATCCTGCTAGGCTTACATAGTTTCTGCTTCGGTTAGTGATAACGTTGGTGAGGATGTGGGGACAAGCTGGTGAAGGTCCTTGAGTCAGCCCTTGAGTCCAGGGGACACTCAGTTCTCTCACTGTGGGTTGAGGCTTGAGGAACGTAGTTTCATAAGGTGGAAGCCATGTGGACCACGTCCTTCTCCAGACAACAGTGCTGAAAGCACAGTGGACTAAACGAGGGAGGAGCTATTAGCTCCGACTCAGCAGCTGGGAGGAGGGGGGTAGAGGAAATGTGCCCGGTCACAGGGCTGTCTGGCAATGGGCATTTGAGCACACAGACTCCTGGAGTTCTGGCCTGGTTCCTTCCTATAGCTCAGTCCAGACCAGGCTGACCCAGTCCTGTGGTTTGATGACCACAGACCTGGGGCTGTTGTCACCCCTTGAAAGGAGACACAAGAAAAGGACTGTTAGTGACAGTGACAGACAGGACTTCAGCACCGAGCTAGCCTGCTATACCATAGCTCTGCACCCTATTCCTCACTGCTGAACCTGGGCTCCATTTTGCCAAGTCTTCCTCCCTCCTCCCTCCCTCTATAGCCCCAGGTCACATACTCTGCTGTCTGCTGCTGACTCAACTTCCCCAGAATCCACGTAACGATGATGCAGGGAGAAAGCTCCTAAGGGTCACAGTATCTTAGGGTCTGGGCACCTATGCATGGGTGCAGCCTGCATGCATAGTGGGTCAGTGGGAAGGGGCCAAGACCACATACACAAGTGCATTGTTGGTGGTCATGTCTACGCGGTATTTCCCGTGAGACCTCTCTTACCTGGGAGATGTGCTGTTTTTCTCTGAGATAGAGAGGCAGCGGCAGTGAGTACGAAGCAAGGGAACAGTCTGCCTCCCGGCCTCCTTCCAGCCGCTTCGTCTAGTGCTGTTGGAGGCTGGGGTCCCCTGGGGCTGGTGATCACTGATGATAGAAGCCAGTGATCGTTCCTGGAGAACCTACCCCGGTCATTTTCATCTTTGGTTTTCCCATCCTGGGGAGGGTCCGTGGAGGTTATATCATCAGATGGTGTTTCCCTGAACCTCCTGTCAATGCCCATCTCCTCCACGGTGCTGCGGGTGCTCTGACCATCCCCAGCAACACTGTGCGGGGCTGGGTCATAGGGACAGCAGCATAAAAGGGTCAGGTAAAGCGGGGTCCTGAGCGGCCCTTGCTCTTTCCCTTCTCATCCACCTCTTGCAGTTGGTTTTTCCAAAATGAGATTAAGAGGGAGGAGTACCTGTAGGGCTCATGTTTGAATGATGCTTCACAAACTTTCCTGCGTGGTGAAAACGGTGCCATGGCTTAATCGGTATTTCAGTGTAGTGTAGGCTACTAGGACATCATTTGGCTTCTCTTTCCTACAGGTTCCATGATTTCTTGGACTTTGTAGCTCATGGTGCCCATGGCTTCCACAATCTTGGTGACTGGAATTATTGGGATGATTTCTGGGGGGACGGGGGTCTGGTGGCAAAGCTTCAGCACAGAGTCATAGCCATGGGTGCCCCATGAGTTGGCCTATGGTTATTCTCTCCCCAGAACCTGTAACAGGTAAGTAGGATATAAGGATTTCCCAAGTTTCCACGTGGTTGGTGGCCTTGCACGCCTGCAATCAGATGGTGCAGAGCTGAAGGCTTTGTTACCTTGTGAACCCAGTGACCATAGTGTAAATCAGTTTGCCCAGGCTCCATGTGTTCAGGAGGTCTGTGATACCCTGGGCCCTCCAACATCTCTGGTGCTAAATAAGAATATGTGCAATGAACTTCATCTAACATCCGGCCAGTGATGACCTTTATGGCCACTCCCAAGTCACACAGTTCCATTATTGGACCCTGACTTCATCTCCCATCTACGGGCTCTAGCAAACATCTCCCTTTTCTGGACTTCAAGCATCTCGAGGTTTCTCAGCAGTATTTGATGCTAGGATCGGCTCTGGGCCCAGGGGGTCCTTTTCTGTGCCTTCCTCCCAGCAGACAAACATGTCATCAGTCGGCCTTCCTTCACTGGAACAAAGGTCCAAACTATTTCCAAACTCAGCTCGTTGGCAGAGGAGGTTTATCCGGGCTCACAGCGTTGGAGGCTTCATTTCATGTTCCTCTCTTTTCATTGCTGGGGGTCTGGAGTGACACGTTATGGCCAGAGTACACAGAAAAAGCAACACCACTTTACAACAGGAAGCAAAAAGGGAGGGAGGGAGGGAGGGAGGGAGGGAGGGAGGGAGGGAGGGAGAGAGGGAGAGAAAGAGAGAGAGCATGAAACATTGAGGATTCTACACTTCTCTTCCACAGAACTCTCTCAATGACCCCAAAACACCTCTCACTGTTCCCCCAACTCCCAACAGCTCCCCCACATGCAAACAGCATCAAGTTACCGATCACACACTCAATTCTTGGGCTGGATGAGACATTTTACATTTAAGCAATAGCAGTGATTCATGGGAGGATGGGTGAGATGCCCACCATCCCCTTCTCCCCGTGCTCTGAGCTGTTAGAATATTCTCACAGGCAGCCTGGCAGCAGAGGTGACTGGGGTGTGGAAGAGCCGCCGAGGGTGGGGCGCTCACCGGCACTATCTTCAAGAGGCAGGTGGGCTCTTGGCCTGCTCCTCTCCTAATTTTTCACCCATGCAATCCTACACAGCTGCTTTTATAAACGCCGGAACGCATCCCTCTAGGCCTTTGTCTCTTGTGTGACAGTGTGTTTTATTTCCATTTCTCTTTCCCTCCAGAGCACTTGATTTCCCCCAAATATGAAACCCGAGGTTGATTCTGCTTTCGACAAATGGGAAATCAGTCCCATGTGTACACTGCCCACGATCAAAGGAGCCACAGCCAAAGACGAGGGACTAAAACTTCCATCAGCAGTGAAAACAGGCCAGCCGAGGACTCTCCTGGCTCATACCCATTTCCCGTGATATGGCTTTCTGCTGGGGAGCATGGGCTTCTGAGTCAGAGGACAGTAGTCTGTGTGTGGTTCCTGATGCCTGGGGGGGGGGTGGAGAAAATGCCTGTTTCTTAAACACTATTCCCAGGACACACATTGCTTCAGGCCGCACTGCGTCCAATAGGACAGCTGGCGCCATGGTGCTGGGCCACTCCACTGGGCCAGAAAGCATGAATTAGGGAAACAGAATACTTGCATTGGCCTAGGGACAATCCTAGGGACCCAGCCTTGTTCTGCTTCATCCCCTGCATGCAATAGAGATATTTAACAACACTCTCAGCCCCTCTAAAGACAACCATCAGGAAGAGACAGACGTGAAGTCTAAACATTGCACAACCGGGCTAGAATATCCACATGCGCAAGTAGCTGGGTTTTATTACTTTCGTGATTAAAGAGAGGGGATTGGGTGAGCCTACTCGAGAAGTGACTTGATACCGTAGGATCACAAGTTCAAAGGAAACTCAGCAAGTAGGCTGCAGAAGACTGGGCCCCAGTTCTAGTCCCGCCTGGTTCCTCTGATCGAGGGTTAGCCAGGTGCAGCCTCCCAGCCCCTGGTTTTCCCAGTGTTTGGTCTTCCTGGCCTTGAAGAACCCACTGTGATTACCAGGTCTCCTAAAGTGGGCTCTCTGCTGCTTGTGGCCGTCCCCCATTTCCCAGCGACAGATCTCATACCCACAAGTGGTACTCAGAAGACTCTTGCCAGGTTCCAGGGAAGCCGATAAAACAGAGCACAGAGTGGTCCCCCCATCTTGTCTCCAGTGTCCTTGACCTTCTCCAGAAAGGACAATGGCTCCATCCTCACAGTTCTATGGATGGAAATTGCTCCTTTGCTCTGGGAGCTGACTTACACCATGGAATTTCTCTCTGGCCAGGCTTCCCACTGGTGTGCACATCACCTAAAAGCACTTGTCTTTTGTCCCCTGTCACTTAATTGTTTGCTATCCTGGGCAGCTGCCAACCCCCAGAGAACATGGATTTTCACCAGGCAGGATCCCATGAAAGCCACATTTATGTCAGCAAGTGATGGAGAAGTTGCCCAGTTGCCCCAAATGGATGCTGACCAGCATAGAGCCCTATGGGAGAACAAAGGCCTTTGCTCTCAGTGGAATATTATGTTCAGAACAGCAACTGAGGCCAACATGAGTAGAGGCTCTGGACTTCTTGAGCAGGAATGCCTCTGCCAAAGGCAAGACATACTTTCCCAGGGTTCAGATTCGTGGTCCCCAAATGCTGCCTGTGAATGTTGTGGTAACATAACCCTGACATAGAGTTTGGAGAACCTAGTCACCAGCAGACATCACTGGACCACCCTGCTTGAGCACATGCGTGCTACGTGCACGCTGTGACAGAGTGCCTGAGGCAAGGAGGGGTCTTTTGGCTCCCAGTTTGAGGGGACACAGGCCACTGTTGTAAGTCACAGCAGGAGGAAGGGAAAGGATGGTGGTTGGGCAGGAAGTCAGCTGGTCATAATGCAGAGAGCAGAGCCGCAGCAGGAAGAGCTGCCTCTGGTGACCCGTTCACTCTAGCCAGGATCCACGTCTTGAAGGATCACAGCCTACCAAACAGCACCCCTACACGAGGACCGAATGTTCAAACACGTGAGCCCGGGGACAGTTCACCCCCATGCCACCACAGCACCCCCTCGCTTTGCTCCCCACTTTACATGCAGTACATCTCTCCACTTGGGGGCTTGGCTCCCCTGCAACACAGTTGAACCACTAGGGCAGAAGACCAAAGAACAGATTTTGAGTTAACGCAGCCTGTGGTAGCACACTGTAACATTTGCCAGGTAGAGCCAAGGAGCTTCCTGGGTGGGATCACCCTCACCCCAGTGCCTCCAGCTGGAAGCGGAAGCCATGTCTGCAGGTGGGTCCCACCCTCCTGGGCGTCCCCAGGAGTGACTCCCCCTGTGCTTAGTCCAACACTAGACACAGGAGCGTAGACGGGGCTCTGTGGGCCTACAGATTGCTGGGGGGAGGGGGCGGTGGTGGTGGTGGACCATCCGGAGCCTCACCTGAGCACCGGGACAGGCTGTACCCAGGGAGCTTGCGGTGTGGAGGAGAAAAGCAGAAAAGACAATCCTCCCAGAGGCCTGCTTGACAAACTACCCTCACACCTGCTGCTCATCTGCAGCCAGAGAGCAAGCTGCTGGCTCAGAAGGGAATGGTGCAGAGTACCAGCCATCTTCTATTCTGGCCGGAAGGAAAAAGGAGGAGGCGTACCCTAAGTGCCTTTAGTCGAGGGCCCATGCTGTTAGCAACTGGAGAGACATTTTGTACTGGCTTGAGTTAAGGCTGGCTCAGCCCACTCCTGTTCTGAGGACAATTTGGTCAGAGCACAAACCCTTGGGCTCTGTCAGTACCACATCAGTAGGAGTGGGCACCATCTTCCTCACAAATGTGTTTGCTATGCTCTGCAAAGCCTGAGAGGAAAGGGAATGTTCTAGTTTGGGCAACAACTTCCTTTCCTCTCTCCAAAGCCCTGCGAGTTGTGTGGGGTGGGGTGGGGGTGAGTGTGTGTGTGTGTGAGTGTGTGTGTGTGAGTGTGTGAGTGTGTGTGTGTGTGTGTGTGTGTGTATCTCCTTGTATACAAGCATATGTGTGCTTGCTCGTCTTTGTGAGTGCAGGTATGCAAGTGCCATGAAACACAAGTGGATGTCAGAGCTCACCTTCCACACCTTGATTGAGGTAGGGTCTCTTGGTATGCAGTCACCACTGTACAGCAGGCTAGTTGGCCTGAGAGCTTCCAGGGATTCTCCAGTCCCTCCTGTCTGAACATAGAAGCACTGGTGTAACAAACACCTGCTACCATGTAAAGGTTTTGTGTGGACTCTGGTGATCCAAACTCAGGTCCTTGCCCTTGAGCTGTGAGGTGGTTACTCACTGAGCTAGCGCCCCAGATCAAAGCCCTGATTGCTCCTGTGTGAACCCTGGCACACAGCCTGGACCTTGGCATTCCCCTCATCACTTTCTCCCTCTTTCACCACAGCAGCTATGACTCTTCCCTGACTGTCTCTGGTCTCCGGTGTCCCCTCTGCCTCCTCCTCTCTTCCCTCATATCTGGATGGCATGCTGGAGTCTTCCCAAAGAGACTCTGGAGCTCTTCCAGATGGGCAGCCTTCGAGAGCCTTTATGTCCACTGAGTCGCTCTGAGGTCATCCTCACTCTTTGCTGTCCTTCTCCCTAAGAGATGGTCTCTCCTCCCTTCTCCTGGCTCTCTGCCTAAGTGAGAGTCATCACCTCATTCACTGAAGACTACAAACACTATCAGCCTCTGTCTTTCTCTTCCACACAGGGTAAACTTGACAGGCGTTCACCTCTAAAGACCATTCCCTCTCCGCACAGATGCTCAGTGCCACAAGAGCACCTCAGGAATCCTTAGAACACTCTGTGTCCCGCTCTGTGTCACTCCGCTTACCCCAGTCCTCATGTCTGCGTATTGTTCTAGCCTGAGTGCCTCTGCAGATGTGGGCGTGTTTGCATCACAGGGGAAAGGCTAGGTGAGTGTGGGTGTGTATGCTTCACACAATATTCATATGGACGTATCTGTGTACACATGCGAATATATGGAGAAAGACACAGAGAAATGGGCTAGAGAGGCGAAGTCATTTCCTTTCTTTTAGTCCTAGCTTTCCTGATGCAAACAAGCAAGCGTTTATTTTCCCTCCAAGCCTCTAAATGCAATCTACCATAGAAACCAAGGACAGTTCTAAACAGCCTTAGACACTGGAGAAAGTCCCAGCACTGGACAAACACAGCCCCATAGGCACACTCAAGAGAAAAACAAAACACCACAGGACAGAACTGGGTTTGGGCTTGTGATGGCATTGAGTGACCAGGGCATATTAACTCTCACAGTCCACCTAGGGAACTTGTAAGAAAAGCACAAATGATCACAAAAGAACTTATCCACCCTCAGCCCCCATCCCTCCCTTGCTTGCCTCTCCATACAATAGAACTTCCACACACCAAAAGGGGTTCCTGGCTAGGGGCCAGGCAAGGAACAGAAGAGCCAAGTTCACGATGCTGACAAGACTGCTCTGTGTTTGGCTGATGTCCTGTTACTATCTCATGTCCCCTAAGACAAAGGCCCCACAGAGCACCCTCCTGCTGACCCTGACACCCTATAGACTTGATTCCACCATGGCAGACACAGACTGTACCCATCTATGACCCTGTTCATCTGGGATGCTACCAATATGTTTCCTTTTCTTTCTGTATGCTCTGAGGCCTTGGTACCTAGGAAACACCCAACAAGCAAGCAATGATACAAGATAATAGTTGCATAAATAAATCCATCTTAAGAAAAGAGCTTCGGCAGGGCTGGGGGATGGCTCAGTATGTAAGGTGAGTGCAAGCATGAGGATCTGATTTTGGATCCCCAGCACCCACATAAAAAGCCCCGTCTGACTGATGAATTCCTGAAACCCCAGTGCTGGGGGAGGGGACCAAGATAAATGATCCCTGGGGTCACTGCTCAGTCCAATCTACCAGAAGCCAGCATGCTAGGTTCAATAAGAGATCCTGTCTAATCGGTGAAGTGGGTAGTTATTGAGGAAGGACTCCTGACATGAACCCCTGGTCTCCACAGGCACACCTATCCCAACATGCATACATACTATGTACAGCCCATAAAGACACTAGACAGCCCATAAAGACATTAGAAATTAAAAAATAAAAACATTTGTCTTTTTAAAAATGGACTATAACCAACCAGTTATAGCACATCTTTAATCCCAGCACTCGGGAGGCAGAGGCAGGCAGATGTCTGTGAGTTTGAAGCCAGCCTGGTCTACAGAGCAAGTTCTAGAACAGCTAGGGCTGTTACACAGAAACCCTGTTTCAAAAAAATGGATATGCTCCTGTAGAACTTTCTAGGCTTTCCTCCAGGAGAAGCAACTGCAAAAACTCTGAGTTGGTCCCACTCAGAGAGCAACAGATAGCGGAATCCCAGACCTAGAAGCACCAGGGTTGCTCGGCCCTTCCTGGAACACTTCAGATAAAACAGAACTCAGCTAGAGGTCTGAGCCTCATTTGAAGGAAAGCAAATCCATTGTTCCTCAAGGACTGCTGCCCCTCAGTGTGTGATAAGGTTATGTCCCCATCATATGAAAATGACACCGTGGGCCCCACAGGGTAGTAGAGCATCAGTCATTCCCCTCATGGTTAAGGAGACAACAAGAAGCCATAAGCCGCTGCCTCTGGCCACCGTCACAAGAAAGGCCATATACGGGGGCTGGAGAGATGACTCAGGGGTTAAGAGCACTGGCTGTTCTTTCAGAGGTCCTGAGTTCAATTCCCAGCAACCACATAGTGGTTCACAACCATCTGTCATGAGATCTGGTGCCCTCTTCTGACCTGCAGGGATACATGCAGACAGAACACTGTATACATAACAAATAAATAAATCTTTAAAAAAAGGGGGTGCATACAGAATATCAATATCTATGAAACACAAAAATTAAAAACCTGAGGTATGGTTTCTCCTGGTTGTCTATCACTTTTCACACCATCTTGAAATCACATGAAAAAAAAAACTTGAAAACCACCATGTGCCTGGAAACATGTGTGTTAATTGATCCCTTCCAGGTGGCAGCATTGTGCTGTGGTGTGTGGAAATAGGGTAAAGGGCAAATATTCTGTAAGTGAAAAGGTAGTACTAAGAATACACATGACATCAGAGAGTATAAACAGTCCAGGAGAGGCAGTAGGAAAGAAACATAGCTAGAAAAATATTTACTAGGATTGACCCAAAGACTGAGGCAAAATACGCTGGGGGTGGTGTGTTCTGGGTTCCTGTATGCATAACTAGACACACCCACTCAAGAGAGAACATGGATGAGTGGGAGGCCAGGGGTACAGATCATGACTTGGCTTCCAGGAATGAGAGGGGTCTTCAAAATAACTAGGGTGTGGCTCTAAGGCAGCCAGCCATGAGCTATACAAATTAGAAGCTCTGAAGATTGTCCCAGTATGATTATAGAAGTACGTGCATATTTTGCAAATCAGTGGTGTGCAGAGCCGAAAGAACACAATCATATCTACTCATAACCAAAACTTCAACCTAAATTGAGGTCAACAATGAAAGAATTCACTATCTCACAAAACAATAAACATGGCCTTAGAGCCATTAAAGGGTGACTCGTCTCACTATGACACAGACAATCCACACTTCTTGGGAATCACCCCCCAACATCTTGACTAAATTTGTAGGGTGCTAAGGTAGCCATGTTCCTGCAGTGGTCTAGGAGTCCTGTCTCTGGTCAAAATCAATAAAAGGAGGTCAGAAGTCCCTAGGACCTCTCCTACGAGAATGAGGAACAAAGCCCAGAAGAGCCACTCGGCAGAGGAGGTCAGAGCTTATGCAGGGATGTTCCCATCTGACTGCCTGCTTTGTACCCACTAGGGCTGGTTGCCAAGTCACGTGAAAGGATGAACCAATCTGGAGCCTTGACAAGGAAGAATCAGGAAATGGCTGTAAAGGAAATTGCTTCATTTCAGGTGAAAATTCAGAGGTAAGAGAAGGCCCCAGTTTGACGGTGGTCTTACAGGTTGAACCTGCCAGAACTCTGAGGTGTGGCCAAAACATAGGAGGAACCAGGAGCTGAGGGCAGATCAAGCTTCACAGGCTGTTCTCATCTGTACAGAACTCCACAGAGCATTCATGCAGAGCACAGAGGCCATTAGTCACCTGAACTACGGAGTTTTAGTGGCACGGTGCCAGCAGAAGCTAGATTACGGTGATGGCAAAGTGACAGGGAAGTAAAAACCTGGAGTCAAGCATGGGCAACCCCTGTGGGAAACCCTGTGCCTGCAGGGTGAAGGACAGGCGGGAGCTGCAGAGTTCAATATTTCTGCTGTATTTTAATTTTGTAAGAGAGACTTACCACATTTCACAAATCACTGCAGGAACACAGTAGCGAGAGGGAGAGGACTAAGCAGGAAGGAAAAGAGATGATGGACAGGATGAAAACCCTGTAAAGATGAGAAGAAAAAGGATCCAGAGTGTTTGGGAGAGTCTCAGGGGCTGACCCCAGGTAGGAAGAAACAGGTCTTCGTTCAGCAGACATTGAAGCATAAAGGGCAGGCCTGCAAGGCTGTGGCTGTGGTGGTTAATACTGGAAGCAGACAGGATCCAGGGTCTCCCAGGAGACGAGCCTCTGGGCATGCCTATGAGGGAGCAGCAAGATTGAGTTGAGGTAAGATTTTCCCTAAGGAGGACAGCACCATTCAGTGAGCTGGAGTCACACACGCATGAAAAGGACCAGAATTTCTCTCTGTCTCCTGTCCTCTCCTCTCCTCTTCCCTCCCCTCTCCTATCCTCTCCTCTTCCCTCCCACAACTCCCCTCCCCTTCCCTCCTCCTCTCTCCTCTCCTCCTCTCTCATCTTCTTTCCTTCTGTCCTCTCTCCCCCTCTCCCCTCTCCCCCTCTCCCCTCTCCTCTCCCTCTCTCTTCTCCTGTCTCTTCTCTCTCATCTCAGATGGTAGATACAATGTGACCAGTCGCCTCACACTCTTGCCCCATGCCTTCCTCATCATAAAGGACTGTATTCTTTCCTTTCTTAATTGCTTTTTTTCAGGGATTTGCCACAGTGGGAAGAAATGTAATTAATATAGCAGGTGAGAAGACATAGTCTTAAGGGAATAAGTGATTGATACCTATGTGGTAGCTTCTGTTTTCACCACAGGGGCTGTTATGTATTCTGTTCATGTCTCAATGGCTTAAGATGATCAGTTGAAACTGAACTTCTCAGGTTACTTTCTGGAGTTT